CTATCTTGCCTATCTAACTATAGTACTAATCGTTGACAAGCAATATACCGACCTACTGCATTTGCTTCATTTGAAAAATATGTGTTTTTAAAACATATCCTGCTGATTTTAAAACATTTTTTTTCATAAAATTTATTTTTATGCTTTATAAAACCTTAATTTCAATATAATTACATAATATTTAATAACCAAATTATGTTTCATAAAACCTCGTTTTTCATAATTAGGTTTTTTTTAACTGGTCATCCTTGATCGTCAAGAATTCATTTTTTGAGGTCAAATTAGCAATTTTTTTTCATTTTGAATGGTCTTTGACCGTTAACCCCCTTACCTTTTTTATTTGAAAAATAATATTGCATTTTAAACCATCGAGCCTAAAGCGTTATTTAAATTTAATAAATAATATAGCAGTTGCTTAAACATAGTGTTTCTAATAGTTGTAGAAATGTCATAGTAATTGCATAAAAAATTTGGTTTACGATGGAAACTAGTGTAAGTTATGCAACTTAACATTTTGTTGTGCAATAAATTTTATGATGTAAAACATTTGTTGTGGAAATAAAAAGAAATTGGTTCCTACAAAAGTTGCTGTACAACAACATTGCACAACTGTTTTTAATATTCCTACAATTATTCAATAATAAGCTTTAGTAATTTTTATTACCGAAAAATAATTTTCCGAAACCGAAGCCATATTTTTGGTACATCCTTATTATATAGGGATGTACCATAAGCCCGTTTAAACATTTTAAATGCCATAAAACATTTTACAAATATATATATATATATATATATATATATATATATATATATATATATATATATATATATATATATATATATATATATATATATATATATATATATATATATATAAATAACAACTAAAATTTCAAACAATTTAAACAAAATGTAAAATAACAAAGTATGTTATAATATTTTGTCATTTTAAATTATATTAATAACTAACAAAATTCGAATAATTCTTCTTCTTGCTTTAGAGTAGTGAGTAAAAGTTAATGCTAAAATAAGTTCTTCTTCCATTAATGGACGTTTAGATATTTGAATAAAGCGAATATTACAGCAGTTATTATAGCATGCGCAGTAGGATTTTATAAATAAGAGAAAATAAAAAATGGTTACGGGCCCTCAGCAACAGAAAAAATGTAATTAAAAAACCACTTACTTGTATATTCTGTCATAATATACGTTTCTAATTATTTATTGAGTTAAGTAAGTTTATACATAGATTAGTTACGTAAATTATTATTTCAAACATAATAAGAAAAGTTTCATTATGAAAAAAATATAAACACAAAAAAGTGACTTTTTTTGTGATTTGTTTACAATTTTTAAAATACTTTTGCTCATTATTTGGGCGATAAAATTAATTTTATTTTTTGTTTTAATTAAATAAGATTTTAATCTTTTCGGTAGTTGGTTTAGCTAAGTGGATATTTTCGGTAAATGGTTTAGCTAGTGAATTCAATTTTTTATTCTTCATAAAAAATAAAACATTTTATGCTAAATTTGCAATAAATTAACAATCTTTACTTGATTTAAAAACACTAATACTGTAATAAATTTATAAAACCTAATCATTTTATAATTGAAATAAATAAAATTTACACTAGCAACTATTTATTATTATTTTTTTATTAACATTGTCTACTTTCTCTGTTGGTTTAAACTGAAATCTGTGTGAAGGTAAATTATTTTATGTAGCCTGTTGTTGCAGAGGAAAAAAATAGCATCTCAATATAAAAAATATATAATCACAATAAAACATAATTTAGTATAACGTGTTAATTTTGTTTTGAAATTCTTGCTAATTTTTTTCCAAAGTGTTAGTTTTGAAATTCTTGCTAATTTTTTTCCAAAGATAAACTTTTTAACTTTATTATATGAATAACTTCAATTTGCTTTAAATAAAGTATTTTTGTATTATATAATTTAAATAAAGTATTTTTGTATTATATAATTTTGGAATTAAATCTTCTAAAACTAATCTTTTTTTTTTTTTAGTTACTAAAACTAAACTAAAAAAAAAGGTGATTTTAAAGTTATAGTCGGTTTTTATACAAATTTAGTCGGTTAGTCGGGTATTTGACACAATTCAGTCGGGTAAATTTTAGTTTTGAGGACCGCTTTTTTCTTTTTTTTAGAACCTAATCTAGTACTTTTAATGCATTAAAATGCATTTAAACTAACTACAAAGTCGTTTTTGATGTTGAGTTTCTACACGATTAAATCTTTTTCATGTAGGTTTAAATTTGGAATGAAGTCTCCACACTGCTCAGCAAACTAATTATAAACTGTTTCGAAAACTTGGAATTTTGGATAAATGTGAATAAGCTTTTTAATATAAAAAATGGTAATTTATACTCGGACGCAAAAGTTTGATAAAAACAAGAATCTTTATAATAGAATCTTTCATACACTGAAATCTTCGACCATATAAACTGATAGACCCGCCGTAAGTCATATATTTTGAAGCCAACATCTTTTATCGCGTGACGTCACGTTTGGGCAAAACAAAACGCGATTCAAGCGAAATAAAGCTTTAAGAATAGAAAACTGTTTATTAAATGTAAAATTTTGTAGTTAAACCTTATTACTATTATTATTATTTTTTTAAATATGATTAAATTTATCATTTGTATCAATTATTATTTTTAGATTCCTTAGATAAGAAAACGTAACAGTTAATACAATTTTATGTATTTTATTATCCATTACATAATATACAAAACAACTTTTTATTGATTCGAAAATTAAATTTGCTTTGTTAATACACTTTGTATACGTTTATTATGTAGTAAATTGTTGATCAAGTCAGTTTTGTGGTGCAATCTTATCTTTAAATACTAAGCAATATTAGTTTTATAATTTCTTCACCACTTTCATAAATAAATTACAGACAACGCTTAACAATATTAGATTTTTCACAACCATCTAAACTATTAATTAAAAATTATACATCAGGAAGTTTCCAACGTCCATTTACACAGTTTACCATAAAAACTAAAGTTTCTTTTGTTTTGGGTTAACTATTATTCTTGATATCAGCACAAAAATCAATATAACTAGAAAATTTATGGCCTGTTTATTCAATTTTTTTTTCAAATGGTCATTTCATCTTACATAAATGAACACACAATATGTTGACCAATTTTCTGAGCCTCTTTTATTTTGCTATGAAGAGTAACTAAAGCTTCTTTACAAAATCCAGGGAAACAGTCAACACTTTTATGCCATTTTGTATAATTCCAGGATGAAGAAGTGCATTACTAAATGTTTTCCTAACATAACTATATGCTTTAGCAGAATAAAAATTTAATGTTAAATCAAGGTTGTTAACAAGGCCAAAATTAGCAAGGACATGGCCAAAGCCACATGTTACAAGGCTAAAGCCAAGACCAATGCCAAAAGTTACAAGGTCAAAGCCTGGAATTTTAAAGTCAAGGCCAAGAATAAAAATATTTTCAAGCCCAAAGACTTGAATTTTTGTCTAACGTTAAGGTCAATTATTAACAAAACTGTAGGTAACAATTCCTGTTACAATAAACCACATGTTGTAAAAATAAACCAGGGTTATGTCCAAAATTCTATGAAGTCAATAAAAAACATACTTGTGGATATGTATGAAGCGGAAAACAAAAATACATAAAAATAAAGAATGAAATCTTTTAATTCTTCAATTTTATGTACTTTTTTTGAAGACCAAGGCCAAGACCAAGACCAACAGTTTTAAGACCAAGGCCTTAAGTCAAGGTCAAAGCCTAGGACTAACAACTTTGTGTTGTAGCAAAGCTTCATAATTCTGGTGGGTAATGCTTTTTAACTTTTCTTGTAAAATCCGACAATATAACTGTTTTGTAGACTCAGACATAGCTCCCTAAAATTAAATAGATTAAATAAATACATTTTTAGTTACAACATCATATTTATACTTGAAAACCCAATCAAGTAAATTAGGGCATCGTTGATTGGGGTATCAAGAAATAGATGAAAATATCACAATAGCATTACAATTATAACAACAATTATTACTGTTACGACAAACACAATAATTAACTTATTGCTATTCTTACCGTAATTGTGATGAATTAAAATTTTCCTTAACTGTTATCTGATGATTAAAGTAATATGTTTTTAATCATAAAAACTTATTAATTTAAAACCATATTTTAACAGTAGGTTGACTAAAACAAAATATTTCTAAAGGTATAACTTAATAAGAAATAAGAAACAAATATTTAAAATAATGAAATAGACAAATAAAATAAAATATGTTCAACAACTACTCTTAATAAAAATATATATTATACCATTAGTGTAATTGATACTTTTTCGGAAATCATAGTATGATTCATGATTTTGATTCATCATATGATTTATACTTTTTGATTTAAAATGATGAAGGTATGAATGTAAGTCTTTAATCCTTTTTATTAAACAACAGTTGGATTGCTGAAGCATTTTAATTGTATTTAAATATATTGTTTACCATTGGTGTTAGGATTGATTTGACACTTTTCAACAATGTTTTTAAAACCATAAAGATATTATTGTCACAAAAAGTAAACTCAAACATTTACATCAATATATGATATTGTAAAAGTAATTGTAAAGTATGTCATTGTAATGTATTTAAATTAGATTTACTGTATTAAATTACTGGTGATATTATTGTTAACATAAATGATATAGTTATCAACATTGTTCCTAAATATATATATATATATATATATATATATATATATATATATATATATATATATATATATATATATATATATATATATATATATATATATATATATATATATATATATATATTTATATATATATATATATATATATATATATATATATATATATATATATATATATATATATTGTAGAAATAGTGACATTATTCATTTCTTGTTTTTATATTGTTTTTATATTGTTTTATATTGTTGTTGTTTAAACTTATTGTTATTTCATTTAGAAACTAACATTGTTTAAGATATAATTATAATTGAGAACAACGACTAACTTTTGTTTATGTTAGTTTCTTATGCATTCTATGAAATTTTAAAGAAACACTGGTATTTCAAAGATAAAAACTTCTTATCAGTGGTTGAAATTGTAATTCACTTACATATTCGTTTGAAGTTGTTAATGTACACACAAAAGGTAGGATTTTGCTAACCTTTTTCTTTCCTACATTATGTCCACAATAAGCTTACCTTGCCAGGCCCCAGGATGCAATGTCGTCATTGAAGGTCCCAGCGAAGCAATTGCAATTGCATTATTCAACAGTCACCAGCTTCACCATCCTCCAAACTCGATTGACACTCATTCAGCCTTCTCAAAACACAAGGCACCTAAAATGGATTGCCCCCACATCGGTCAGGATATCTCAGAAGAAGAGTGGGCAAACTTTATTAGTCGCTGGACATTGTTTAAGAGATGTACAGACATCAGACAAGAAGAGATGACAGCACAGCTGTTTCAGTGCTGTGAGGACGACCTTGGAAATCAACTCCTAAAAGAAAATCCCATGATAATTAATGAAAACGATGAGGCATTTCTAAAAGCAATGAAAAAACTGGCCGTTATCCCAGTAGCCACTTGCGTCAGAAGAGCAGAACTCCTTCAAATGAGACAGGGACACAACGAAAGTATTCGGTCATTCTATGCAAAACTGAAAGGCAAGGCTGCTACTTGCAACTACACTGTTCAATGCCACTGCCACCCACAAACAACTGTTGATTTTACCGATGTTATCATACGAGACATTGTTGTTGCTGGGCTATCAGATACTGACATCCGCAAAGACGTACTTGGATGGGTCTCCCTTGACACAGCCTCCGTCACAGATATCATTGCTTTTATAGAGGGTAAAGAAATGGCACGAAATGCACTAGGCTGTAGTTCAACAACAGCAAGTGTATCAACTTTCAGGAAACAAAACAAGAGCAATACACAGAGTAGTAAAGGGACCAATATAACAGCCAAATGTCCAGATTGCTCAGAATCTTACAGTTTATTTACAGAAACATCCAGAGGATGGAACAAAAAACCCCACAAGCTGTGTCTAGACTGTTGGAAGAAGCTCAGATCTCGCACTTCTAAAATTAACAACAGAATCATCCCAAATGATAAGAAATCGAATGCAACCAAAGATGCTGAGGCAGGCGGACTTGTGTTAAAGTTAAGTGCAATTGAGCATTCAAATAAAAAAATTAGATCACAAATGAAGACCAATGTGAAACGACCATGCACAGGAATAAACCATCACATATTTACCCATGATGGATGGGCCACAGCTCAATTGCTTGTTCATCCTACAATTCAGCTGCGTGTGACAACTAACAAATCAGACTATGTCGCATTTGGTATTCCATTTCCTCCCATTATACCAAAATATATACAAGTTATTACAGATACCGGTGCACAGTCCTGCTTATGGTCTAGGAAAGGGTTTGACAGTGCAGGCTTTAATGCAAACAATTTAATACCTGTGAAACATAGCATGTCGGCCGCAAATAAAACCCAATTTCGTATAGATGGTGCAATTCTTTTACGTCTCGAAGGACGACAATCTAATGGACACAAAGTTGAATGTGCAGTAATGGTTTATATAAGTCCAGACGCAAACGGATTCTACCTATCTAAAGAAGCAATGACCCAACTGGGTATCATCTCTAAGGACTTTCCAGAGATAGGCAGTGCCCTCCACGGAGCTATTAACTCAGGCCCTATAACTATAGGGACCAAAACATCCAGTGAAAATAATAGCTCACACGTGTGCAATTGCCCCAAAAGAAGTCTCCCAGCAGGCGCACCCACCAAACTTCCATTTGTCTGCTGTCCTGAAAACAACGAACGGATGAAAGCGTGGCTCCTTGAAAGATACTCTGCTTCAACATTCAACACATGTCCACACCAGATTTTACCTGATATGGAGGGACCTCCAATAAGTATTTTAATTCAAGAAAATGCCAAACCAGTTGCAGCATTTACTCCAGCCACCATACCAATCCATTGGCAAGACCAGGTGGAAAAGGATTTAATTCGTGATGAAACTCTTGGAGTCATTGAAAAGGTACCTCTAGAAGAACCTACAACATGGTGTCATAGAATGGTTATCACACGTAAGCATGACGGTGGGCCTCGTCGCACTGTTGATCTATCTCCTTTAAACAAGTACTGCTACAGAGAAACTCATGCAATGAAATCGCCTTTCCAACTAGCTCGTTCAGTTCCAAGAAATTCATGGAAAACTGTAACCGACGCATGGAATGGTTATCATAGCATCCCGATACGGGTTGAAGACAGGAATCTTACCACCTTCATTACTCCTTTTGGGCGCTACAGATACATCCGAGCTCCTCAAGGTTTTGTATCTAGTGGGGATGGCTACAACAGACGTTTCGACGAAATTTTAGCAGACTTTATTGGCAAACAAAGATGTGTAGATGACACCATCCACTACGATGACGACCTAGTCAAACATTGGTGGCGGACAATCGAATTTCTTGAGCTTGTTGGCAAAGCTGGGATCATTTTGAACCCACAAAAATTCCAATTTGCTAAAAGAATAGTGGATTTTGCAGGTTTCAGAATATCTGAAAATGGAGTTGAACCACTACCTAAATATATCGATGCCATTAGATCATTTCCAACACCATCCTCAATAACAGACATCCGATCTTGGTTCGGCTTAGTGACCCAAGTATCACATTACGCTCAACTTCGAGAAACTATGGCCCCATTCAGAGTTCTGCTTAGCCCTAAATCAAAATTTTATTGGTCGGACGAACTAAACACTCTATTCAACGTGTCAAAGGAAAAAATTATCAATGCAATTAAAGATGGAGTCCAAATATTTGACATCACCAAGAAGACCTGTTTAAGGTGCGACTGGTCAAAATTGGGGATAGGATATTACCTAAGCCAAAAACATTGTGAATGTAAATCGGACTCCCCAGATTGCTGTATAGACGGATGGAAAATAACCCTAGCAGGGTCCAGATTCCTGTCATCTGCTGAACAACGATATGCACCAGTTGAGGGCGAAATGCTAGCAGTGGCATGGAGCCTGGAGCAGACTAAATATTTCACACAAGGTTGTGATAACCTTATGGTAGTAACTGATCATAAACCACTTGTCAAATTATTAGGAGATAGGACCTTAGATGAAATTGCTAACACACGACTTTTCCGACTAAAACAGAGAACTTTGCCATGGAAATTTACCATCCAACATCAACCAGGAAAAACAAACCTGGCAGCAGATGCTACTTCTCGTTACCCTGCAGAGAACACAAAGGAATCTGATAATTCAGCCACTTGCAATCAAAATACTGATTTTGACAACACAGAATCACTAATAATAGCCTCGATACGAAACGACATAGATAAAATGATTGCAGTAACATGGGATAGTGTCAAAGCAGAGACAGAAAAGGATACCGATTTTAAAGCATTAATGTTAGCAATAGAAAACGGGTTCCCAAAAAATAAGAACAACTTCATACCAAATCTTTTACCGTTCTGGGAATACCGCAATGACTTGATGGTGTCCGACGGGGTTATAATATACAATGACAGAATTGTAATCCCACCTACTCTACGGAAAGAGATATTGGACGTACTACACTCAGCCCACCAAGGAGTATCGGGAATGACAGCCAGAGCTCAAGCCACTGTTTTCTGGCCAGGTATCACTCACAGCATACAAAGTAAGCGCGATAACTGTTGCAGCTGTAATCGAAATGCACCTTCTAATGCACGACTACCACCCATCCGACCTCACATCCCTGTGACACCATTTGAATGCATATTTGCTGACTATTTTGAATTCCGTGGCTGGGATTATCTGGTCATTGGAGATAGACATTCTCGATGGACCGAAGCCTACAGAATAAAATCAGGAACATCAGAAATGAGTGCAAAAGGTCTTATCACATGCTTACGTAAACTATTTACAACATTTGGAGTCCCAGAAGAAATTTCAACCGACGGTGGCCCTCAATTCATCTCTGGAGAAACAAAAGAATTTCTACAACAATGGGGCATAACTCATCGCATTTCATCAGCCCACCACCCACAATCTAATGGAAGAGCTGAGCTTGCAGTTAAGTCAACAAAACGCCTCCTCGAAAATAATGTGGGACCAAATGGTGATCTCAATAATAACGCTTTTGTAAGGGCAATGCTTACAATAAGAAACACACCAGACCCTACTTGTCAGTTATCCCCCGCTCAAGTATTATTTGGCCATCCCATTCACGACGCCATGCCCAGGATAAAATCCAGAATACCTATGTTTAATAACGACCAATTCTTGAAAACGTGGAGACATGCATGGTCTGCAAAAGAAGAAGCATTACGAACAAGATATGCAAAGACCCTTGAATCACTTCAAGAACATACACGTTTTCTCACACCACTACATGAAGGAGACAGCGTCTTCATACAAAATCAAGTAGGGAACCACCCTAAAAAATGGGATCGTAGTGGAAAAGTTGTTGAATGTAAGGAAAATGGCCAATACATCATTAAGGTTGAAGGAACAGGTCGACTAACATTAAGAAATAGAAAATATTTGCGCAAATTCCTCAACCCACTAAAGTCATACGAAACCGAAGTTGCATTGACTACACCACCAAGAACAAGCTCTAGTCACTATAACTCTGCCGATTTGCCAACACCATTTACAGAGTATGTCCCAGAAAGTAGCAACAAAGTCATACCATCCCAACCGGAACTAGCACCATCTACAGTATTGCTACCGTCTTCTACATTAGCACCAGCAGTACCACCACTACCTCTACCAACAACTCCAGTACCCTTACCGTTGATGCCAGCATCTTTATCAACAAGCTCGCCGCATCTAGCGATGCCACCTTTATTAAATACTGAAATCGTAGGAGATCAACCATTGAAACGTTCATCCAGGCTACGTATCCCCAAAAAATTCTACCAACCAGAAACCGGGAAATCTTTGACATTAAATGACTTTAAGAAATGAACCCAGAAATTATGTTTTATATAAAGCACGAATCTACCTCAATAAGAAAATTTTAATCAAACTTTATTATTCATTTATACACAGTTACTTAAATTATGCTAATATCGCCTGGGGTAGTACAGAAAAAAGTAAGTTGCAACGTCTTTATCGCCGTCAGAAACATGCTATCCGTTTAATCTGCTTTGCAAATCGCTTTTCTCACGCAAAACATTATTTTATTGAAATGAGAATTTTAAATATATACGAGCTAAATATATATAATGTTTTATGCTTTGTATACATGTGGAAAAATGACTTGTCTCAATCTGTCTTCAAAGATATTTTTACTCCGAAACCCATCAACAAATACAATTTGAGAAATACTGATTTTTTAAATGAACCTTTCTGTCAAACGAACTTTAATCAATTTTGTATTGTCTATCGGGCACCACACCTTTGGAATAAAATTGTTTTGCCCAATTTTGATTTCGAACTACCCATTACTTTTCGTTTTTTTAAAAGTAAATTAAAAACCCTTATTTTTTCATTAGAAGACGTATTATGTTATTATTAATAATATAAATTAATAACTTTGCCTTTTCTTATTTATATTTGTAAAAAGTTTATTCTTACTTATTTTGCTGATTTTATATTCTTTACTTCACGTATACGTTTATATAAAATATTAGTGAGTAGATCCGCGTGATCTCTCTTTGGATTATAAAATATATATTTGGATTATATATATATGAAATTTGTAAAAATTTGATACTGTTAATGCTTGTTTGAACTTATTTAAGGTTCTGACGACAAGATCCTTTGATCTTCTTTCAGATACCTTATTTTATATTTGTGAAAGTTTATTATTATCATCATTATTTTTATTTTTTTTTTTGGCAAGTTGTAATACGACTAACAAATGTAAAATTAAAAAAAAAAAAAAAAAAAAAAAAAAAAAAAAAAAAAAAAAAAAAAAAAAAAAAAAAAAAATGTTTATATTCATTGACACTTAAAAACATGGAAGGGGATGTAGAAATAGTGACATTATTCATTTCTTGTTTTTATATTGTTTTTATATTGTTTTATATTGTTGTTGTTTAAACTTATTGTTATTTCATTTAGAAACTAACATTGTTTAAGATATAATTATAATTGAGAACAACGACTAACTTTTGTTTATATATATATATATATATATATATATATATATATATATATATATATATATATATATATATATATATATATATATATATATATATATATATATATATATATATATATATATATATATATATATATATATATATATATATATATATATATATATATATATATAGTTACGAACAATAATGTTGATAATCATACCATTAATGTTAATGATATCATAGATAATTCAATACAGTAAGTCTAATGCGTATATATATATATATACATATATATATATATATATATATATATATATATATATATATATTATATATATATATATATATATATATATATATATATATATATATATATATATATAGGCACACAATATATATGTTACAAAAACTAAACTTAAAAGTTTTAAATCAATATATGTCATTGCAAAAAGATTAGTTACATTAGACTTACTGTATTTGAATCATTGCAATGATTATTTCAATGATTATTTATATATATATATATATATATATATATTATATATTATATATATATATATATATATATATATATATATATATATATATATATATATATATATATATATATATATATATATATATATATATATATATATATATATATATATATATATATATATATCTGTGCTACAGACCAACTGAAAGTAAAATTTAAAGAAACAGAAAGTTAGTAAGTCATTTTTTTATAACTTTCCTAATAAATAACTATCTTTGCCGCATTGGCATATCTGTTGAATTTAACAAATTGTTAAAAAAAGTTTATAACCTGAATGTCATCCCAATTTCTCCAAATATTGCAGTGATCAGCAATATCAGCATAAGGCTAAAAATTTAAAGAAATGGACATCATTTAAATAAAGTAAAAAACAATAAACAATTAAATGAAGCACATATAATATATATTATATTATATATAATAATCAATATTATATAATTAAGATTATTATAATTCAATATTATATATAATAATCATTGCAATGATTATTTCAAATATTACCACCAATGCATTGGTGGTAATATTTGAAATAATTCTTTGTCTATATTTTTTGGTAGTTTTTTAGAATAAATACTTTTTCATATAAGTGTTGGGAAATTAAATATAGAAGAAATTGCATTTTTTTTTAGTTTCTTTTGTGAACTCGAAAGACTTCCTTTATACCAGTGAAATATTTACCACAACGTTTAGACAGTTTACTAGGAGTAAAACCATCACTCCACATAACTTGTATCCATTTTCTCCTCAATTCCATATCTTTTAGAAAACTACCAACAAAAATAAGCATATTAAAATAATATGCTATTTATATTTAAAATATAATGTAGGATTTTAGCAAATAATGATTTGTAGCTACTTACACATGAAAAGAAACCCTTTTAATATATCTTTGAGTGCAATTATATGCAAAACAAGATAACATCATGATCTTTATATATCTATATTCTATTTGAAAATCAAAATTTAAACAAAATAATATACATAACAAATAATAAAACTTTAAAAATGTTAAATACATTCACCCTAAACCGATATTATAAATTGTTTAATGCCCAAACGTGACGTCACGCGCTAAAAGATGTTGGCTTCAAAGTTGTGTGAATATTTACTTGCGGTAAGGCGTGTCTATCAGTTTATATGGTCGAAGACTGAAATATAGGTCTAAGTTGAGAAAACTTTTATGTAAAGGCGTATTAGGTCTTTGCTGGCATTTTTTTATGTCTACATCTTGAAGTAATTACAACTTATACTAAATTTTTTAATTTTTTTTCAGATTTTATTTCTTACATCGAAAAAAAAACAATAAAAAAACAAAATATTTATGACACGTAATGACGAGTCTCCCGAAAGAGAAGTTGTCAATACTTGAGCAGCCGTGGCGCAGTGGTAGCGCACTTGCCTCAGAAACATAGGATCCGTGGTTCAAACCCCACCTCTGGGCAAGTTTTGCGACATCGGTTAGGAAGGAGGCTCGAACTTCCAATTAAATTCTTATCCACGGCGCTCTGTGATAAGACCGAAAGGACTTCTTGGGGCACCTAAATAAAACTTAAAAAAAAAAAAAAATTAAAGTTTATATTTAAACGTTGCTACAAAAATATTACTGGGAAACACTTTAAATACGAAAAATTATTAAAAGAACAGTTTATTCGATAATTAAAAAATATCAACGTTCTTCAACAACTAAAGATTTACCAAGAAGTGGACTTTCAAACTAGAGCCTGGCAAAGTTAAAATCTTTCAAAAATTCAAAGATGGAAAAAGTCAGAGAACTGAAGCTAAAATATTAAATACTTCACAGAGTTAATATTTCAAAAAAAATGGAACTCAATATAGAAAAAAAATTAAAGCACCGTTAATAAGTCAAAAACAATGAGCAAAAATTATCAGAGCCTCAAGCAAGTTAGAAACAAAATCTTTTTTTTGGAAAACATTAATTTTCAATTATGAAAAATCTTTTACCTAAGACAACCGTGAAATAGCAGGTAATGAGGGTTACTATACGGATTATAAAAATTCGTCTCCTGAAAATATTAAATACAAAATAAAAAATTTAAATACAAACCAAAGGTATAAGTCTGATTTCAAATAATGATATTTCAAAACCATATATAGAAGAACCACTTATTTCAAATTATGCTAAGCTCTATATCAATAAATGCTTGAGACCTAAAGTAATATATATTTTGTCCAGACTTAGCTAGTGCTTATTACGCAAATGAGGTCATCGACTTCATGAAAGCTAATAACGTCAAATTCGTTCCTAAGGATGCCATTCCTCCAAATGTTCCTCAAGCCCGTCTAATTGAAAACTTTTGGGCTAACATGTGCTTGGAAGTATGAGGGATAAGTCTGCAAAACTAAAGCATTAGTTAATGAAACGTTTAAAAAAAAACCCTGAGAGAAATCGATTTAAATGAGTTACAAAATCATATGGAAAAGTAGAATATAAACTTCGTTTATTTATACCAACCATGGCCCTTATAACATTATATTATAAATACTTTTAATTGACAATAACTAAAGTTTACTTTTAATAAATAATATTTACTAGATTAAAGCTAGTAAAGTACCTTAAATTTAAGGTTTTGCAAAGACTTTCGAATCAACTGTTAAAAGACTCTTTCCTTTCTACCCAAGACAGTTTGCTGAACAAACAGTGAGTATCAATCATCTGAAGCTTTGGTAAGCTGATACCATTAAAATCTTTAAAAGGTTTTTATTGAAGATTTGTCGAGAAACTTCGTACGACGTTAAACGAGATCGCTGTACACGGTTTTAAATTTCGTAAACAAATTCAAATTTTTTTACATTGACACTTTTCTTTAAGAGAGGAAAAGAACATTAACTTATTTTGACTACCTTTATCAAATAATTAAAATAATGATCAGGGATTGATATAGCAATGTTTCTATAAGTTTTGAACATAAAATACAGTCAGAATTCTAATTTTTTAAATAGGCATAAAAATGTTGAACGATATCAATCAATATAACCCCTTCGTACACAGGCTCATAGAATATGAAAAAAAAAAACCTCTTCATTTTTGCCTTGCAATGTCATCTTGAAGTATCTAAATACTCATAGATACTCATAATGAAAACGATAACTTAAATCATGTTAGGCACAGTTTCTCAGCATGGTATAAATTTTAATTGCTTTTTACTGACACACACGCACAAAATTTTACGTTTTGTTTGAAGTAGGGGAGAGTGGGGTAATGACGAACAGCTAAGCGAGAATGCGAATTAAAGACAATTATTACTATATATTAATGATATTTTTTGCTTATTATTTAGTCTAACCATTTGGTTAGAATCACTCAAAAGCAATTTTCATATATCTTATTAAAAAATAAAAAATTCGATTAAAAACAAAACCTTCGGTGTTCGGAATTACCCTACGTACGTGGGGTAATTCCGAACATACCGTGTATATATATATATATATATATATATACTATATATATATATATATATATATATATATATATATATATATATATATATATATGTATACATATATATATATATATATATATATATATATATATATATATATATATATATATATATATATATATTTATATATATATACATATATATATATATATATTTATACATATATATATATATATATATATATATATATATATAAATTTTACAATAATAAACTAAATAAATAATGTATAATAACTTTATTTAAGAATCATCTGTGTGTTATCATATACGCTAGAATACTTTGAAGACAATAAGTGTTCGCGATTACCCCACTAAGATCGTTCGTTATTTCCCCGCGTTACAACCAAATGAAATTAAACGAATATATTGAGGTAGTATTATCATACCCTAAATATAATACGTGTTACAAACTCCATGATTATGATACTTTGCAACAACATAAATAAAAGTGTGGTTTTATATACATAGTATAGCCAATACATAAATGTTTCGCAAATAAAAATTACATAAAACTAAGAGAAAAACTTAAAAGCAATCTACCGCGAAGAACCTGCGCATTTATAATATACTATTGCACGTCTGGAACTGAGCATGGAACCCACTCTTGTCAGAAAAAAAAAGATTGTCAGCTATCCTTTTCTAACATGCCTTAACAACCTTGTTCGGAGTTACCCCGCGTTCGCCATTACCCGACTCTCCCCTATAATAAAATAAAATAAAAAATGCCAAGTCTAAAGCGATGCCTTTTAATCCTAACTAGACCTTATAGATTAGCCTGGTGCACGCAGTAAAACTTTTAGTGAACGTTTGGGGAGTCTATCCAATTAATAAAATAAAGATATCGTATAATTTTAATTTATTAAAAAACTAAATACAACATTTACAAATTTCTTAAACGTGGTTTTTAAATACATAATTTAAAACAGTTTTTATCATTTTTTGAGAAACCCACATTTAATAAAGAAAACTTAAATGATTAATTTCTTTATTAAACATGGAAACAATTTTGAGCTGAATAAAAAAAAAAAAAAAAAAAAAAAAAACTACATAAAATTTTGAATAGACTTCGTATTTCATCAACTTACATATTTCTTCTAATAAATTTAATTTTTGTTGAAATTGTGTGACCATGTGTAATTTCTCTTTCATTTTCATAGATAAGATCATTCAGGTGGAATTCGCTAAAAGAACGGAATTTGTTGAAAGCTCAGGGTCAATTTAAACCATACTGTTAGGGTCATTCGCCACATAATTTACTATCTATAAATCGTTAATTGTAGGCGTTTTATAGACGAATATCAATATTCAAAAGTAAAGTTAAAATAAAACTCACCGCACTAATTCCTGGTAACATTAATATATTCCCAATCACAGGAACTCGTCGCAAAAAATTTATGACAACAGGAAAAAAACCTCTAAAAATAGAATTCAGATAACATAAGAAAAAAAAAAAAACATAATTATAAAACAATGTAAATAGAAAAAAATGAAATCTACACTCAATTATTTAATTTACTATTAAGTAAAATATATTTTGTAACATAATGGGCAGCTTATATAAAAAAAAATTTCTTCTGCACGAAGTGTTTGTGACACTTTGTTCTGAGATTTTCTGCATATTAACAGCCTGAAGTTTTTTAATGGGCTGTCTCTCAGTTAAATTATAACCTGTTACCTTTAACTTACATCGTATAGGGATGGCATAGAACACAGATGCGACAAGTATTTTTTTTTTGAAAACTGAGGTTAGTACAGAGTTTGACACCGAAATTTTATTTTGTATAAATGTAGTGATCTTATTTTGTCCGGTTATGGTTAACAAATGATATAATATAACAAGCTTAAATGTACCAAATATCTTTAAAATTGCTATTCTGCAAAAGTTATTTCATTGCACATACCACGTCTGTGTTCTATGCCATCTATATATAGAATTTAGCACTCGAACTGCTTCTAATAGTGTAATTTTTTGCTCACTGACACAAAAAATTGATACAAGATAATAAAATTGATACAAAATTGATAATAATACTGAACACTAATAGTTGCTTAACAACACTATCTTGTGTTATCTCTTTATATTCACTATTATTTATATTCACATTTTTTATTTTTTTTTTATAACTACAAAATAAATCTAAACAAAAACATAAATAAAAAAATAAATCTATATAAATCTTACTTGAAGAGTAGAATAAAACCATATATTTCAACAACCATTCCAATTACCGGCCAGCCTAATAAAACTACTAGTATTCCACCAAGGAAGAACCCGCTACCTTTTAACTTTGTTTTCTGGAAGAAAAATCTAAATGTTCTTTCTAAACCAATGACTAAAGCTAATCCAGATATAAACAAAATCTAAAAATGAAAATATAATTATAAAAAATTATGCTAAAATAAAAAACATGATATGTTAAAACAGAATAAAAAATTTTTAGTTTATAATAAAACTAGACATAGGCTATATGAATATTATTAAATCTTGAAAATCTACTTGACCTCTACATTACCCTTTGTTTTTATGTTATAATAAAAATTTGTGTGCTTAAATTTTTTAAGTGTGCACTTCTTTAAAAGAAAAGAAAAACAATGTAAAAAAATATCAGTAAACCTTGAGTTCATATTGTCAATATATCACTTAAAAGTGACAACATGAGATATACTATGTGTGGGTCTAATCCATATATATGTGTGTGTTAATATATTTATATACATTCTTTTTTAAATTTTAAATTTATCTCTCTTTTTCACGGAGCCACTAAATTTGAGAAGACTACTTGATTTTTTTTTAAGTTTGCAATCTCTTCTTTTAAGTTATTATTTCTTTCTTTCTCTTTTTTAGAGTTAGTTTTTTACATCTCTAAACTTAAAACTCCTAAGCACAAACCTTGTTAAACAAGTCCACTGCACAGAAAAACAAGTGGCGCGGAGTACCATGGGATGAATTTAAACTTCAAACTTTTTAATTGTGAGCCAAGCCTTTCCTAAGCTCCACTTGTCCAAAGCTCCACTTATCAATGATAAAAGCAAAAAAATTTCAGTAGAACCTTATTTTAACTTTAAATCAATTTTTAGCTTTATTTTAATTCTAAATGCGTGCATGATTCACAAAAATTTCTTTAATGTTGGTTTAAATTAATGAAGTCATCAAAATATGGAAGATTTATTTATCGAAGCTGAAAGCATTTTTTTTTACTAAGTAACAGAGCCCTGCACAGATTTTGGGGGTCCTGAGCATCATTCAATTTGGGGCCCAACCCCCTCCTCTTCTTCATTAAAAAAAAAGTCTCTTCAAATTTTTTTATTATATTTCTCATATATAATTATAATTTAGTTGTCCAGCTTTTGTTTCTTACAACATCTTTTTTTATCTTTTGTTTTGCTAACTCTTCAATCACATCATAGAAATCAAGATTTTGTGCTAATAGACACTTAATACTCAAAATGGCAAGATTACTTGTTTGTTCTTGTCCCATAGAGCATAAAAAATTGAAATTCAAAGAAAAATACAAAGTGCAATCACTGCATTTCTAAAGAGTTTCCCTCATTTCTGTAGAGTCGCTTCTTTTGCTTTGCTGATTTGAATATGTGTGTTTCAAGTTTATTATTTCCAGGTATTTTGATCAAATATATATATATATATATATATATATATATATATATATATATATATATATATATATATATATATATATATATATATATATATTTATATATATATATATATATATATATATATATATATATATATATATATATATATATATATTTGTATAGTTTAGCACAGGATAGATTTTACAAAAAAACAAACACTTACAGGGACATTAGCAATATTGTGAACATTTTAGTGTACCTGTTAATTTTTTGTCCCCCTAAGCATGATTTTTTTTGGAAAAAAATGTACCTGTAAAAAACTTTTATAGAGAACGAAAAGTACATAAATCAACTGACAAATAGCCTGACTTGCAAGGGAGTGCTGCTACATCGACTGAGGGTTTAATTTGGCCAGGCATCAAGGTCAGGCTTAGGGTTAGGGTTACGGCAAGGTTATATTATTGTAATAAAAAATTAATTGTAATAAATTTGGTTATAAATGAAATATAAAAAGTTAAAAATGAAATATATATAAAATAAATAAATAAAAATAACAAAAATTAATATAAAAAATATATTTTTATAATAAAATAATAAATTTAAATATGTATAAATAAAAATAGAAATAAAATAAAAATTAAAAAATATATATAAAAATGATAAAAATAGTATAAAAAAAGTAAAAAAAACAACAACAACAGAACGGGAACAAAAATAACATGTGCCCGAAAGTCGTTAACTAGGATGCTATATATATATATATATATATATATATATATATATATATATATATATATATATATATATATATATATATATATATATATATATATATAAAATATTTTCTTAATATAAGCTTAGAAATAAAATTTAAACAAAAGCCTATCAAGACCAGGGTTATTTCCATTGACTATGATAAAATTTGGTTGCTCTATTGTTAACGGCATTAAACATTTGTGCTGCATTTGTGAAAAGTTGTAATTGATTTGCTTTGAAGCGTAAGGATAAAGAGATAGAAAAAATTAAAAAAAAAACAGGAAGTTTATTGCTTTTCTGCGGGTAAATTTATTCAAGTCAACCACTTGTGGGGATTCCTATAGGAGCCGGGGCCCTGAGCAATTTTCTCAGGTGACTCACCCTCTGCATGGCCCTGCAAAGTAATATTTGTTTTTGTCATTAAATTCAATTAGATTTGTAGATCTGATCAAAACATGTGACTAAAAATATCAGAAATTGTAAAAATCAGAAAACAACTAAATGGTGTTATGTATAAAGAAATAAAAACAATACAAAAACCACCATTGATTCCCTATTTACTATGCTGGTTCTAATCTTTATGCAAGTCAGATGTAAAACTTTTATTTAAATTTATTCTTATTTGTACTTTTAGGCTCAATGACAAATAACCAAAATAAAGTTTGGAAGGTGTTTGTCTACATTTTTATTCTTTATTGAAATCAGGATAGGGAGATTTTATGTGAAAACATCCAGGGAATGCAACCCTAAGTCTCAGATTTTGGTAATTTTTACACCACTCAAAGATTTTAATAAATTATGAACATTTCTAAAATTTTATAAGCTAATTCCAAACGGTTTAAAGATATGACTACTCAAACTTTGCTTTGAACCAATAAAAATACGTTATTTTAAAAAAATGGTTTTGGTCATTGTTTCTGTTCTGTGTGCAATGGAAAGTTGAAAATGTGTACACTTACATATTTTGAGGCAAGGAATCCAATAAAACAAATTGAAATATTTAAAAATAAACATAACACCTGTAATTTTGACCTTTATCACAATTTTACTGGGGACCTAAACCGGTCTCAAAAATTAAAAAATAATAACTGTTTTTTTTTTTTATAGATTTGTGATACAGTTTTTTTGTTCATAACTTGTAAAATTTAATAAACTAGGGGAGGGGGTCTTAATAAGCTCAGGGTAAATGTGAAAATTTCTAAAAATTTATTAAACATCAACTGCTGTGTATTGATCACTTAACAGTACCACCTGTTTTTTTCCTTTGATTTTTCATAATTCCTGCTTTTTAAGAAACAAATTTAAGCAAATTTGACCATGTTTTTTTTTCTGTTTAAGAAAAGACCGTTTTTAATATCTCTAACTAAACTATTCAGAACAAAATCTCAACATGAAAAAAAAAAAACAAAAAAAAATCGAGCTAGATCAGCATTTTTGTAATGAAACTCAGTAAAATTGCGATAAAGGTTAAAATTAAAGGTGTTATTTTTATTTTTAAATATTTCAAGTTGTTTTATTGGGTTCCTTGCCTTAAAATATGTAAGTGTAGACATTTTCAGCTTTCCATTGCAAACAGAACAGAAACAATGACCAAAACCATATTTTAAAATGGTGTATTTATATTGGTTCAAAGCAAAGTTTGAATAGTCAAATCTTTGAAACTGTTTGGAATTAAATGATAAAATCCTGGGAATGTTCATAACTTATCTTTGAGTGGTGTAAAAATCAACAAAATCTGAGATTTAGGGTAGCATGCATTTTATAAAAAAATTGGATGCTTTCACATGGAATTGCCCGATATCAAAATGAAGGAATTTAAATTAACCCATCAAAAAGGTGCAAATGAAGCTAACAAAACCACATGAATGAAACATGAAAAGCTAACAAAACCACATGAATAACACTTGGAAAACTTATTTGAGAAGGTGTATTCTTTCTCACGTTCAATTTTTTTGTTGGGTAAGTTTTAGTTCAATAAGTCATTGTTACATTTTTATCTATTTAAACTAAACAAACCCCTAGAAACAACTAAACATTATCATAAAATAGTTTTAAATAGCACATCAGAGCGTAAGAATAAAATTTAATAGATCCATGTTAAATTTTTTTTTTTTTGCAACTTTGCCGTGACAACAATGTTGGATAAGAAGGTATCAAACTCAGAAGAAATATCACAAACGCTCCTATCCAATGGTAAGTTATAAGAAGTATCAAAAAATGTTTCCCTTGAATCAAGAGAACTAATTTCTCAATTATTTTGAAAACATCAAAGCTTAATCTCCACAGCTAAAGTACCTTACAAAAAAAGTTCATATAAAGTAGACAAAACCTTTAAAAAATTGTAGCCTATTTTTTTAAAATATTGACATGAATGTCATTCTTGTTAGCACAAATATATTTAAGGGAGAACAGAGTGATATGGGACATGGGGTGAGATGGGACATGGCAATATCTCAGCAAAAAAACTATTAAAGCAGTTTTTTATATATATGTGATAAAATTACAATAAGTACTTCATATTATAGTGTTTTTTGAGTTCCAAAAGTATTTTAAAATTCAAATTATTTTTGAATATGATAAAATCTAACAAGTTTCCTGGATTTTGAAGACATCATTAATATTAAATATTTATGTGATGTTTCCATATATTTTTATGTTTATGGTTTTTAATTAATCATTATCGTCTATTTAATTACTGAAGAAATATTATTAGCATATGGTTAAAAGAACTATATAAAATAAATGTTTTCTCACACCTACTAGTGATGGGGTGACTTGGGACAGGAGACTTGGGGTGAAATAGGACACTGTTCAATTTTATCAGTTGTTTAATTTGTTATATTTTAATTTTTTCAATCAATTATTTTTGTAAAAAAAGAAATAACGTTTATGTTTATGATAATATTTCCATGTTTACTTTATATTAATATGTTTTTATCTTAAAAAAAAAGTTTTATAGGATTTCTTTGAAACTTTATTCTGGTTGTTAAAGACATCTTTCACAGTAAGTAGTGTTTTATAAAGAATATTTTTAAGCTCTGTATTTAGAACTCAGTTTAAATAAAGGTCTTTACTATTAGCCTTTTTAAATTTAATCTTATTATAAGTTTTTAGGGTTGTGGTACTAATTTATTTTTATTAATAATATGGATTTTGGTTAATGCAATTTTGAAAAAGCATAATTTTTGAATAATAGAGTGAGTAATCTGTGTAATATTTTTCAGATGAAAAGAAAGTACAAATGAGTGACAAATCGGTTAAAGCCTGATGCTCATACAATAAAAGCTGCTGTGACGGCTATTGAATACGGGAATTTATCACTACGAGCAGCTGCACTGGAATATAAAATTTCGAAATCAAGTTTACAGCGGAAAATAAAGATTAATAAAGAAACTTCTTAAAAAGACTTATACTTTGATGAACAACATAAATATATTTTTAATGAGGCGCAAGAAGATGAACTTTCAACATATCTTCGCCAAGCATCTGATATGCATTATGGACCTAATGTTAGAGAAACAAAGCAACTTGCATATCAATATGCAATTAAAAATGACATTAAAATACCAGAAAACTGGAAAAAAAGTGAAACAGCTGGAACTGAATAGCTTTATTTATTCTTAAATCGTACAAAATTATCTATTTGTATGCCAGAAGCTACCAGCCTTAGTAGATCGACTAGTTTCAATCGAACCAATACAGATACTTTCTTCAAAAACCTTGACAGTGTACAGAAGCGGTATAAGTTTTCTGCTGATTGCATTTACAATATTGATGAAACAGCTCTTTCAACTGTTCATAACTCCAGTGAAGGTGGTTGCGGGTAAAGAAGTAAAGCAAGTAGGACAGGTAACTTCTGCTGAAAGGGGAACCCTAGTTACAATGGTAGGTTGTATAAATGGCCTTGGAAATTCTATTCCACCATTTTTTATATTTCCCCGTGTCCACTTTCTTAACCACATGTTTAAAAGTGCACCAACAGGTACCAAAGGTGATGCTAATCCTAGTGGATGGATAAATACAGAAATATTTTTGAAATGGTTTGATCATTTTGTGCAGTATGGACACCCTAGCCAGCATCATCCATTACTTTTAAAATTGGACAACCACAAAAGTCATATATTGATTGAATTAATGGATAAAGTTAATGAAAGTAATGTTGTGCCACCCCATTGCAGCCACAAACTCCAACCACTTGATAGATCAGCATTTGGATCATTAAAGAAATTTTACAGTTCAGCATGTGATTCATGGTAAAAGGCACATCCAAATACTCCTATGACAATATATAAAACATTTCGGAAAATTTAGGAATAGCTAATGCGAGAGCCTTTACTTCCCAAAACATTCAAAATGGTTTTAAGGCAGCTGGCATTTTCCTGTACGATCCATATGTTTTCAGTGATGTAGACTTTTTATGTTCTTATGTATTTGATTAAAGTTACTCCCTGAGACATCAACGCAATTTTGACTGTATTTAAACATCAAGCTTGTTGAACAAAGTTATAAATACATTTAGAATATCTTATTTTAATTAAATACAAATAAATGTTGTGCATTGTTATGTTTTATAAGAAGTAGAAATTGCTTGTTTCGAACTTGTCCCATTTCACCCCAACATGAAGTGGCATGGGACAAACAGTGTCACATTAAAAAAACGAGGCCGTGAACTTTATTTGATGGTTAAGTAATGGGTTTTTAAATAATTTCCCATGATAACTCATTAGACTATAGTTTTAACCCAATTTGTATGGTGTTTAGCAAAAATATAAAGCGCGGCACACAAACAATTTTTTTTTGTCTCATCTAACCCCATTCTCCCCTATAAACTGCATATATATTTATAAATTACTATAAATTATTATGCATATAGTCTAAATTAAAATGAAAATTAGGCAGAAATTTCTTTTTAATTTGATTTAATTTTAAAAAAATTAGACAGCTTGTTTTTATTTCAGCTAACAATTGTTTATTGGCAATCTTTGATTTATTAATTTCAAGCACTTATTGAATGTCAATTATTTTTATTTTTACTGATTATAATTATAACCATAACTTTATTTTAAGACATTAACACATATATGTTTACACCATTAAAATATTTTGTACACTTTTGCTTACATTTCCTATTGCAAGTAATCCTCTATCAAAGAACAACATCATACCAAGAAACAGAAACAGCATTCCAAATCCAGTTACTCCAATGCCAATCTCTAAACATAAAATTTACAAAATACAACTTTTATACAGATTTTTTACATTTTTATTATTAGTATTTCTAAACATGCAGTATTTCTCACACATGCTCTCTCTCTCTCTCTCTCTCTCTCTCTCTCTCTCTCTCTCTCTCTCTCTCTCTCTCTCTCTCTCTCTCTGATTACATTCAGAGTGATTAGGATGTATAACAATAAATTAAACTATTTCTCTGGAATGCCAGAAAGAGTGTGAATATTGAATTTAAGAGATAAAGAAAAAAGTTATTAGTAAATAATACTACCCAATTCTAGAGAGAAGTATCAGAAGGTAATAAAATCAGAAATGTATAAAAGACGGAATGACTTACTTGTTAAAGTTTTTTAAAGTCTTTCAATTCAAACTTATATATAACTATATATATATATATATATATATATATATATATATATATATATATATATATATATATATATATATATATATATATATATATATATTATTTACACTCATAAGTACTAAAAAATTAAAAGGGTAGAAATAAATAAAAGATTGTTACAAGTTGTTGACTTGTTTCCATACACAGGCAAACTTTTTAAAAAACAGGTTTTTTATTTGTTTTTGATTATTTATCAAAACAATTATAAAAGATATTAAAGTAAGAGAAATAAAGATTAGAATAAAAGCAAACAGAAATAAAAGCCTGCCTGATTCCACAAGATTATGCTAAAAGCCCAATCATCAACAAAGAAATAAAAGTCCAGAGATGCCACAAATAAATATGTCAATTACAGAATATTCAACTAGATTCTTGGCCAAAGCATCAAATGTTTGTCAAATTTTCTCACTTGATTTCAAGTTCAATATTAGCAATTACAGCATAAACCTCATAGAGTTGTCAGAGATTCTAATTCCATTTGAAGCTACATTATATCTGAAATTAAGTCAAAATATTGTCACAGCAAGTATATTTGAGCCTTATTTTAATAGCCCACATTCAAAAATATAACACAAAATTCATTTTGTGTTAAAGGTAACCTTATACGTTTGTACAAACTTGGAATGCTTCAATTGACAAACATCTCACAAAGTGTGAACGTACTTATATTTTGTATTTAAGTATTTATACCATAACATAGTTTAAATTACAACTGCATTAAATTCATGTTTCAAACTGATGTGGTGTACTCAAGACAAGAAAGTTGACCTCCACCAATTGTTGATTGACAACTGATTAAGCCATTACTCTGAAGAAATGTAACTTTTTATACAATTAACACCTTTGATTGAATTGATTTTTAAAGTAAAGTACAACAATGCATTTTATTTTGTGTTTTAACTTTATTATAAGTTACATACAAGTTTTTTTTTTTATAAGTTACATACAAGTTTTTTTTTTAATTCAAATTTGTCAAATTAATTTAATTCAAAAGTGTCACCTTTAGTAATTAATATGGCCTAAGCGCAATGTAGTTGCTGCATGTCATCATTTATTACATGTCATGCTGAGCTATACATTATTAGTGCTGCTTTCTAAATCAAAAGGTCTGTGGTTCAATTGCCACTCTGGCCATGAAAGTAACATTAGTGAAAAAGACAGCATAAAACTCATTAAATGCAAATCAATTGTGCGGTGAATAAATTGTTAGATCTTATTAAAGTACTTAAAAATAACATTAAAAAAAGACATTCTACAGGCAGTATTTTTTGGTCTAGGTCTTGACTCTAGTATCTTCTTTATACTGTCATACTAATTCTACTTCTGTACTTTTTCAAACTATTTTAGAATAACTTTAAAATTAAGGCTAATTAGACAAAAGTTGTTACAAAGTTATAAACAATATAGAACTAAGTTCTGTACGGTTAGTAACAAAAAGTTGCATTCATAACCTTAAATTAAATACAAAAATAATATTACGATTTCAATATTTATTTCAAGCCAATAATATGAGATTAAAGAAATGAAAACTGAAATACTTACTAATAATAACATATAGTATAATATTTATTGTGTAAATAATTTGTAATTACTGTTTTTTATAATATGAAGACAAAAAAAATATTGGCATGTTATTGCTGAAATTTCAAAGGGAGTGAGTTTTGCTACATTGTTACTTTTCTTCTTTTTTGGCTGATTAATCAGTTAAGAAAAAAGAAAGACAACGTTGTCTTCTGCCACTGACTATATATATAATAACCAGTGACTATTTTAATTTATGTGTTTTCTATTAATGAAATATAAATATTGGAAGAACATAATGCTCTCGTTTCTTACTTTGATAATCACTTATAGGGAGCATTTCTTTGAAGATAATATATAACTTTGCTCTGCAAATATAACCTCAATAATTTAATAGAATACTAAATAGATATAAATAAATATTTCTAAAACTAAGGATTCATGTCTGCCACGTTAATTACCGGAGCATTTACAGATGACCGCGGAAGGTAAACACTGCCGGAACCGAGTTTTTTGTATATATTTTTATGAAAACCCAATGCTGAGTGTTTATCAATGACGTATAAATTTAACTACACCTATTCTGGATCAATTTAAAAGAAATACGAATCAATTTAAAAGAAATACGAATCAATTTAAAAGAAATACGAATCAATTTAAAAGATATACGAATCAATTTAAAAGAAATACGAATCAATTTAAAAGGAATACGAATCAATTTAAATTAGTATTTCTTTTAAATTGATTTGTATTTCTTTTAAATTGATCCAGAAAAGGTGTAGATGCGTGACTTGCAACTTTTTGCATTTAACTTAGTGAAGCCTGCGTCCGCCATATTGCGGCACGGCAAAAAAATAAGACGCGACATAGAGAATTATTTTGATTTGTTTTTGATAGAGAATTAATTTGATTAAGTTTATGTTATTTTGATAAATTAAATTTAATTAGATTAATCAAGCATATATAGAGAACTAATTTTTACTATGTTTTTAATTTATATACTAACGTACATACATACATACATATATATATATATATATACAGGGCCGACGCGAGTTGGTGTCACGTTGATGGGTTTTCCAAAATTTGCCGACTGCCATGACGACATTTGCCGACGGTCTAGATTACCGACTAACCTATATCGAAAGGGTCGACATTTGCCAACTAACTAGTCTAAAAGGGTCAAATTTGCCGACTAAGGGTCCAATTTGCCGACTAAAAATCATTGATGGGGGAGGGGGGAAGGTGTAACACCCCCCACACCCCCCTATCGCGCCGGCCTTGTATATATATATATACATACATTTTTTTATTTTTTTTATTTTTTTTTATTTTTCGTCATTTGACACATTTTATAATGTTAACCTTACATTCAAATAAATTTGTACAAATGCAAGCTGACTGGGGCAAGTAGAAGACAAAATGTCTTATCATCAAGCCCCTTCGTGAAAATAAAAAAAAAATTTAAAAATTTTACAAATTCCAATAATATATAAAAGAGTGAAATTAGCCAATAATTTTGGTCAAAAAAGTTTAAAATAACAAATTAAAAAGATTGAAAAAATCAAAAAGTTTAAAAAATAATTTTTAAGTTTGACAAAACTAAAAAGTTTGAAAATAATAAAAAATAAAAAGGTTTGAAAAAATAATTTACAAATCCGTACATATGCGTATACATATCCAATAAAATTTATAATATATATTTAAATATACAAAAGATATTTTGAATTGAAAAAGATTCCGAACATTTTATAGATTTAAACTCATCTACTCATATTTTTTTTTAAAACAAAATTAAAACAGACAAACAAAAAGAAACAAGAAGAATATATATAAGAAGGATATATGTATATATATATATACATATACACACATACATACATACATACATACACACACACACACACACACATACACACACACACACACACACACACACACACACACACGCACGCATATATATATATATATATATATATATATATATATATATATATATATATATATATATATATATATATATATATATGCATATATACAAACACACATATACACATATACATATATATATACATACACACACATATACACATACATACACACATATACATATATATATATATATATATATATATATATATATATATATATATATATATATATATATATATATATATATATATATATATATATATATATATATATATATATATATATATATATATGTATATATATATATATATATATATATATATACATATATATATGTATATATATATATATATATATATATATATATATATATATATATATATATATATATATATATATATATATATATATATATATATATATATATATATATATATATATATATATATATATATATATATATATATATATATATATATATATTGAACAATGTCTTCCACCCGCAACTTTAATTACAAAAATTGGCAGGCCCTATTATTATTCAAAAAAAAAGTTTTTCAAAATTATGTAATGTAGGTACTCAAATAAAGCAAAATTTTATGAAAATTTAAAAAATAATAATTTTTTTATGCAAAAATTATTATTTAGATTTTATTGCATAATAACTATAGTTTTTAACTAAAAGTGAAAAAGGTGCACTTTTACATGTTTTTTAATAACAATTTTTTTCGGCAATATGATTTTTTTAAAACGATTATTATTTTCGAATTTTTTATAAAATTTTGCTTCTTTTGAGTACCAGGTTGACCTACTTTTGAAAAATATTTTTTCCCAGAAATAATAAGGTACCGGTAATTTTCCCAATAAAGTTGCGCTCTTTAAACCTATCACAATCATTCTCATATTTGATAGTATCAATATTAATAACTATTAGCAATGTTTAGAGCCTGTAACAAGAAAAAAAAAATTTATGACCCACCCTAATACATTCACATGCAAAATACATATATATATAAATATTTTTTAATTAAAAAAATGAAAGAATGTACGTATTGTTTAAATTTAGTGTTTTTTTATAGCTCTTTTATATATATATATATATGTATATATATATATATATATATATATATATATATATATATATATATATATATATATATATATATATATATATATATATATATATATATATATATATATATATATATATATATATATATATATATATATATATATAATCAATCAATCATTCATATATATTCTGAAAATTAATTTCATGGATATTTACAAATAGTAATTATACTAATCTTAAGTATATATATATATATATATATATATATATATATATATATATATATATATATATATATATATATATATATATATATATATATATATATATATATATATATATATATATATATATATATATATATATATATAATCAATCAATCATTCATATATATTCTGAAAATTAATTTCATGGATATTTACAAATAGTAATTATACTAATCTTAAGTATATATATATATATATATATATATATATATATATATATATATATATATATATATATATATATATATATATATATATATATATATATATATATATATATATATATATATATATATATATATATATATATATATATATATATATATATATATATATATATATATATATATATATATATATATATATATATATATATATATATATATATATATAAAGAGTTTGATTATTTGAAAAAATACAACTTTGTAATAGAACTTAAAGTTTCATGCCTTTCGGCAATCATCAGCCATATTTTTTTTTTTAAATTAAGAAAAAACCGTTAAAAAATACAAAATACAGAAATTAACAAATAAAAACCATAACGAAGCAATGAAATGAGTTCTGACGTCAAAACAAACAATTTTTTAATTAATTAGAAAGTTCCTCAATCACCCGTGTCAAGTAGGGCGAGAAGGAACTTGTTTCGATGCCTGCACTTTTTTTTGTTTAGCAGATTTTTGTTTTTGGAAAATAGAATTTTATATTTTTGTATGTGCATAGTTTGCAGGACTTCGCTATAACTTATTTTTTTCGTGTTTCTATTTAAAATTTTGTCGAGTCTGTGATTTATTGGAAAGTGTTTGTTGATTAAGATTAAAAAGATTTTTCCTACATTAGTGCTAACATTTTTGCTGAAAGGAGGGTTGAACCATATGATGTTTTGTTTACAGTTTTTGGTATGTGGTAAATTTAAATTAGGGTGATACGAAAGTTTGTGATTAAAACCGGATCTTAATAGGGCGTCATTGTACATAGGAGTAGATCTTCGGAAGATTTCTTCACTTGACAAATTCGCAGACAATCTTAACTCAATTGAATGCGGAAGCTGTTTTAAGATCTTAGGCAGGTTGTTTGAATCAACATGAATATAGTTTATAGAATTCCCGGGCTTCGAATATGATTGAAAAGTATTGTCGTTGAGATTTAATGTGACGTCAAGATAATTTATAACTTTCATGTTGCACTGTATTGATATAGTGAGTTCGTTTTTTTTAAATATTTCAACAAAATGATTTTTGTTTTTTTCCATTTGGGGACCACTCATTTTTTTAAAAACTGCTAAACCATCATCGCGGTGCAATCCGAAATCATATTTATCATAAAACTGTGCAATTTGAAACAAAATATAAATTCCTACAAGATCACAAACTTCAGTACCATCAAATGCTCCCATTGAAACATTGAATAAACCGCTTGATTTTTTAATCTAAACTTGATCATCGTTAAATAATAATGATTTTCTTGCATGATAGATCAATGCTTTATGGTTAGGGTCAATCTTTAGATGCTGCTCAGCAAAATAAATAGCGTTGTTAAGAAGTTTTTCAGATATCGAAGGGTAAAAATCAACAATATCAAAAATAATGAATTTACAAAGGCGTTTATCACTGATGCGATTAAACCAGTTTGAGGTATCTTGGGTTTTTTTCCATTGATTGAGATGAAGTTTCTTTAGAAGTTCAGAGTTTATATTAGAAAGTATAACTTTACTAATTCTGCCGATTTCATTTTTAACAGGGTTTAATAAACGGACAGTTAGATTATTTATAAAGTTTTCTTTATGATCTTTAAATTTTATAAAACAATTTGAAGATGTGTTAATGTCGATTTTATTGAAAACGTCGTGATTTTTTAATGTCCGTTTACTTTCTTTATTTATTTGATTTTTTATTTTTGTATTCGATTTTTTGTATGTTAAGGTGATAGCATTTGTAAGCAAATGGGTATAATTCTCTTTAAATATATAGTATAAATTGGAATATATATATATATATATATATATATATATATATATATATATATATATATATATATATATATATATATATATATATATATAATTGATTTAATTTACCAAGTTATACGCAGATGATAGCAAGACCATAGGTGTTATAAATAATAATCAATCATCCTCTGATTATGAAACACTGCAAACGGACATTGACAACGCTGTAAGTTGGTCACATAAATGACTTATGCACTTCAACATCGAGAAGTGCA